TACATTTTGGTTTGGGACTGTCTACCTGACCACCACCACGGTTGAATACAAAAATATAAACAACCGCTCGGTTTTCACGTCTAAGGAATTAAAGAAGAGCCAAAAAATGGCATTGCTATCTTTGAAAGCTAAGATCAGTGCATCCTGCACCTTATTGAGCTACGCGGCGCCGTGGTGGTTGTTTATATTTTGGTATTCGACCGCCGCGGTGGTCAGGTAGACGTTCCCAATTGAAAACAAAAAAAAAACATAACCTAACCTCAATAATTTCAGGCGCCTACTAGGCATTCCAGAACCAGTGACCTTAAAATGGCCGCTGTACCTGCCCCGTTTCCGTCCGTACTTCAAACGTCAAAAATTTACTTCCTCTTCCCCTAAATTGCGAGTTTTAAGGTTATGATCGTCACTGATTTCGTTTTGATTTCTTGATATTATAGTTTTTATCATGAATAAAGTGAATATTTATTGAAATTAGAAATTTCTGGTGGTCATAATATAGAGCGATACAAAGAGAAACTCAAAGTCAGTGAATCTATTGATCCCTATTCTCTGCAGAATAATGGAAACCTAGGCTCCGATGTTTCCTGGAGTCACTTCAATATATTACTCCTAGTTTTTATACTGCAGAGCAAACGGAAGCTCATGAAAGTTTGAGTGGGTATACATTTTCTGAGGCATGTTTTGTACAAATACCTATGTGGAGTCAGTCATATAGTGAAGAAAATCAGTGGCATATGTTTTTGTTGTTCTAGGCAGTCATACTATGAGTGGATAATTGGATAGTACCTGTTAAATATTGGATATTTTTGTAGGTGAAACATTTTCAAATGATGATTTTACCCTCACTAGAAGTCTGAGTATTGTGTTAAAGTGATCAAGGAATAAATACAGAGCCATTACACCTGCATGGCTGGGCTGTCAGAAGTTTGTAGTCTCTCTATAGCTTAACATGTATTCACAACTGCAGAACTGCCAAGTCAAGTACCCATTTCCAGGCAAAATGGATGAAACGTTCTAATGTCACTCTTGCCAATCTTGAAAATCTGAGAGAAAATCACACTAAAGTTAGAACATATTCAACCTATAGAAGGCAACAGCTCTCAGAAATATTGGAATCTTCAAGAGAAATTGACCTAGCAAATATCTGATATCCCTGCCATGCATAAGCAATTAATCATATTAATTCCTCAATAATTTTCACACAAAACAGGCATATTATAGTGAGTGTAGGTACTTTCCTCCTTTGATACTCTTTCACTTACAAGGACAACACCAATGCATATCACTGATTCCCTCCACTTCACCTATTTGTGCAAATCCTGTTTGAAATATTTGTATCAGACTCCTGTAAGCTCTGATCTGCAAGGATTTGAACTATCATGATTCAACTCTAAATATCTAAAAATGTATACTGACCATAGTTACTCCAGAAAATATTTTGATGTTAGTCTTGCTCTGCTCTGCAATGTCAAAAATATTCACTTTGTTCTTAACTACCAGACAAATATGAAAATTCACAAATAACCCACATAACATCAATGTTCGTAGAATGTTCTTAGCAGATTCTGTCAAGATACGCCGCCGCATGTTCTAAATGGGATGTTCTTAGTAGATTCATATAACATACTTAAACTTATATTATAAAATGCATGTGCTAAGAATGTACATAAAAGGATGTTCTAACTAGCATATGCTTAGTATCTACCCTACTAGAAGGTTCTGAGAATATGTGAAGAAGTATATACTTATCACGTACGTTTTCGTTTCACATTTATGAATGTTTTTTATTTAACTGTTACGAATGTTATAATTGGCTTTATTTAGAGTAAGAATGATGTGTATTACCCACAGAACTCATAATACTTGTGAGTATCATGAGTTCTTGCGAACCTTAGGAACATTGCGTTCAATTAGAAAAAAAAAGAGATTATGTAAAAAAAAGAAGAGTTTGGTTTGAGGTTATGTCTTATGAACTCGACATGAACAGTGAACTCAATGAGTTGAGTTTTTCGATATTATTAATTATTATCTCGTATTAGTCGTGTTAGCCGTGTAGTTATCATAATAATAATTGTGCATATTATACTCGATCAACTGTGTGGAAGAAGTGAAGAAGAGCGTCGTTGTTATCAGGTAATAGCGAAGTTTACTCAATTCATACAATGTTTCCAAAACGTGTTAAGAGAGGATACAGTTCATCTTTCGAGAAAAGAGAAAAACAAATTAGAAAAGCGAGAATGATAGCTGCTTATTCTACATCTGTGTCCTCATCAGAAACCTATGAATTCATTGATTTCAAGTCAGATCAGCAAGGACCTAGTACTGCTGGTTGTTCTTCCCTTCGTTCATGATGTAGTAAATGTTCCTGAAACTACCAGTGGAACTAGTAGCTCATCTCTAAAAGGAATCAGGCTTGAAATATCTTCATGTAGGTATTCCATTTTCATCAAAATTGTCACTCTGGGCTATTCAAGAAAACATTACCCACTCAGCTTTAGGAAAACTATTAAAAATGTTGAAAGATGTATCATCAGTTAATGATTTGAAATCATTGCCCCTAGATTCAAAAACTCTTTTATGTACTCCAACAACATTAGTTACAGATAGTATGGGACATGGAAGATTCTTTTATTTTGGAATTCGTGAAACAATTCTTTATTTGTGTAAGAAGTATTCTATAACTAGGGTTGCCATCCGTCCGGATTTCCCCGGACATGTCCGGGTTTTAGAGGCGTCCGGGGACGTCCGGGCGGGTTTTGAAAAATTGTCCGGATTTTCGTCACTTCAAACCATTGACATAAACTATTATCATGTCAGTGAAAGTTTGCTCTAAAATTGAGAATTTGTAGATTTGGTATTATTTATGTGACTTATATAGTTTTGTTTCAAACTCTTGATTGGTTTATTTTTTGTTCAAAAATGTTTTTGAGTTTTTATTCGATTTGTTCAACAAAAAATATGTAGGTAATATACCCGAATTATAGTGATATCTAGAGTGATATTCACCATTCACCTTATTGGACTCATTCATATGTATATGAAAATGGAATTACAAAAAATGATGCCGAGTTTTCAAAATTCCCGCTGTCCGGATTTTGTCCGGATTTTCAAGTAGCCTTGTCCTGGTTTTCACATTTTAGAGATGGCAACCCTACTATAACCTTAAATGTCAATGACAATTTCCATATTGCTGTTAACATAGATGGAGTACCTTTATTCAAAAGTACGAATGAATCTTTTTGGCCAATACTGTGTCTTATAAATTCTATTGAGATTTTAAGGTGTGAAGTGTTTTGTGTTGCATTATATGAAGGTATAGGTAAACCTGAGTCAAATGAATTTTTAAAATTATTCATAGAAGAAGCATCACATTCAACAAATAATGGAATTTTAATTGGATTAACCTACCATGAATTTAAAATTTCAAAGTTGATTTGTGATAGCCCTGCTAAATCCTATATATTGAAAATTAAAGGTCATTCAGGATACTTTAGTTGTCCAAAGTGTACTTTAGAAGGTGACTTTGATGACAATGTATATTTTAGTGAAACAAATTTTAATAAAAGAACAGATTTATCATTCAGATTCAAAATACAACCTGAACATCACACTGGAACAAGTTTGTTTGAAAATATACCAAAGTTTGACATGATAATAAATGTACCTATTGATTACATGCACTGTATATTGTTGGGAGTGATGAAAAGATTGCTTTGCCATAAAAAGTATGGATGGATTTATGGTAAACCACCATTTAAATTAAGAGCCTTCAAAGTTCAAGAATTGAATGCTGATCTTAATAGTATGAAAAAGTTTATTCCCTGTGAGTTTTCTCGAAAGACCCGATCCATTAATGATTGTAAGAGGTATAAAGCAACAGAATTTAGACTTTTGTTGCTGTATACAGGACAAATTGTATTCAAAAAAATTTTATCAAACCAAATGTACGAGAACTTTTTGTGTCTCAGTGTGGGAACCTTAATATTATGTAGTGCATCACTGTCCAAAGATGATACCTTTCTTGATTATGCTGATGATCTCTTCAAACACTTCATTATGAATTCTATGAACTTATATAATCCTAACTTTGTTTCTCTCAATGTACATAATTTGTTACATATTACTGACTGTGTTAGACTTTATGGAGTATTGGATAATTTCAGTGCCTTCCCATTTGAAAATTATATGCCCCAAATAACGAAAAAAGTGAAAAAAGCTACCCTTTCTCTAGAGCAAGTAGTCAGAAGAATAATTGACCAAAAAGAAAAGACATGTAATGTACCACAAACTCGAAACAAGATGACATTTTGCATAGAACATAGTACTGGCCCACTATTAGAACATTGTAGATCACCCCAATTCAAGATCCTCAAAACTGACAAATTTATTTTAAGAACGTCCAAAATTTGTGATAGATTTATACAATTGAAAAATAATGATATTGTAGAAGTTTTAAATATTGCTACTTATGAGGATGGAACTGTTATTATAGGTTATTCTTACAAAAAAAATGGGTCACTGTTTAAAGTACCTGCTGACTCAATAAATTTTGGCAATTTCTTTGTTGAAAAAACTGACCAACAGTTGAATATGTATTCTGTCAAAAATATCAAATCTAAGATTATGATATTGCCCTTCAAAGGAAACTATGTTTGTTTTCCTTTACTACATGTGTAATATAGCTATTAACATATCTAGGAAGTGAAGTATGTCATAACTACCGCAGATCTCAGTTTGAATTACAAGCGAGCACAGCAAGCTAGAAATTTGAGACATCTAAGGCAGTTATGACATATTTTACAACATGGTAAATTCAAGATTTATCGGTTTTTCTTATCCACTAGGTTTATATGACTGTATATATGTATATAATTCTCATGATACTTTCAATAATAGTTTCAATGCTTTTTTATTCATTAATAGATAACTGCTCCTGGACTTTATGGACTTTAAAAATTAATTGCCTCTGAATTTTTAATCATAGTAAGTTTTATATCAGAATGGGTTGGGCTGTGGTGAAGTTTTCGGACGAAGATGCCGTAGAAGCGGTACCACGGTCTTGGTATATTGAAGCTTCAGAGGAGTGTTTTTGGCCTCCAGCTAACTATAAGAGGGAAAAAATTGTTAAGCTGATCGAACGCAATGGCAGCCCGCTTTCAGATTGGAAAGTATACACTGCTCTTATGCTTGGATATTATGGTAACTATATATTAGAGGGTTATTGATGAATTTAACATTTGTATCATCCATGAGGGGCCAGACTATTGAGAACATTAATTTCATTAAAACTAGAAGCTTGATCCAATTCAGTTTTAGGGCAACCTGTATATTTTTCCATTTTATGTTTATTATGTAATTTTTTAAATAGAAGTGTCTCAACTTGTAGATGACTTCGCTGTAGCACAAAGAAAGGCAAAAAAAGCTACATTGACTACAGATCTTTCATCTGGTTCTGATATTTATAAAGGAACAGGATCACGGATTAGAAAAAAAAATCCGAGGTATGAGTCCCAACACTCTTCAGATTCGGATGAGAGTCGCTCATCATCAAGTCATATCAGTTACCCAGTTTTCAAACGGACACAACCAATAAATTGTAAGTATTTATAGACATTAATAAAAAATTTGTTTTGTGTGAAAATACATTTTGTAGTATTGGATGATGTATCACGACGTAGCACTTCTCCAGAGATTCAAATCGAATCAACTGCCAAAACTGTGAGGTCTGACGGAATATCCCATGAAAACAATGAATCGAATGATATGGCAGGATATGATGGTACTCCAACTATAGGTAATTTTTTCCTTGAACAAATATAAACAAATCTACCTACTTTCTGGAATCCGATTTGAGAGTCTTTTCAATCACAGATTTGTCCAAAGATGCGGCGTTACGTCATTTTGAAATATACACATACTTCTCAATTTCGAAATCATTTTTTTATTTTCTTTATCATTCTTTTAGAACCTTATGAAAGAAGAGCTACACCAAGACCTACTCCTATAGGTAATTGTTTTCTTAAACAAATATGAAAATTCTTATAAATTTTGTAATCATTTTTTATTTCATTTATTATTCTTTCAGAATCTTGTGAAAGAAGAGCTACACCAAAACCTACTCCTAGAGGTATTTTTTTTTCTAAACAAATATAAAAATATTTCCTAATTGTGTAATATTTTTTTTTATTTCGTTCATTATTCTTTCAGATTCATGTGAAAGAAGAGTTACATCGAAACCTTCAAGCGACAGCAGAGTTACACCAAAATCATCTTTCGCAGACAGATCAAAACAACTTGTTCCACTTAGTGATCAAGGACGTATTACTCCAAAATCATCTTTACCAGACAGATCAAAACAACTTGTTTCCCTTAGTGATCAAGGTAATTTACCAATTAAAAAACTTCAGATTGAAAATTCATTATAACATTATGCAGAGGTTCATTATGGCTAAACAGTAAGTATTTTGAATTAATTTATGCAGGAATATGTTTATTGACAAAGGCTACACATTCTTTTATTTTTTTCTTATTGCTTCGAATTCATAAGATTTGCTAAAAAAGTGGCATATTTTGAAGTTTTAGTTTTTCTTATGGAGAATTTATAAATTCCGAAAAAATGCACTTCACTTTGAAAAAGCGAGTTTTTCTAAAATCTGTGATATGCCATACATATTAGTGATAATTCATTAGCACACACCTCTTGATAGACAACAAATTTAAATTGACTGATCCTTGGCATTAATGTAATGTATGTATTTAAATGTGTCATTCATTTATTGTGATATTTCAGATTTCAAAAGGATGATGATTGATGAGATGAATCAACTCAACTATAAAATGAATAATTTGATTGAGAGTATTGCCACTCTCATGAAAACAAAAAGAATCGAGACTGATATACAATTAACAACTTATGGAAGTAAGATCAAAATACTATATGGAAAAATTCCATTAAGAAATGACACTGATTTGGAAGACTTAGAAACTTATTTAGCTGATGATGAGAACTTCAAAATAATGGTAAGCATCTTATAATATTTTGACTTGAACTGTCACTGATTAAATTTAGTTAGGCAATTTTACACCCAACATTTTCGACCAGTTAGAAGCCTATATTATATTTTATATCTTTACCATATAGCAAGTAGAAAAAAATCTTGCAAGGAAACTTTTTGATAATTATTATAAGTAAACTTCCTGTGAGCTCGAATTGATCCCCAAAGATTCTTGCTTGAATGCGATTTTTTTTCAAGAAAATTTGCGTCTCGAAAATTTTTCGGAATTTATTCAAGCTCTAGGGAGATCATAGGTGAAAATGTCTTGTAGATCCTGATAAATTCAAAATAATTCTATATTTTTTAGATATCAGAATTATCAAGAATTGGTGGTAGCTCCCTAGGGCAAAGTGTGAGGAAAATTTTATATAGGCTCCTTACAGATGAAGTAGCTCTTTTATTTTCCTGGGATGGGGCCAGGATGAAAAGACCCTTCAAGAGTTTGAGATTAGCCAGATGTATTCTTGGTATGTATATAAACACCTCAAATCAATTTTTACTTGAAGCATTTCATTTTTTATAGACAAAAAACTTTTCAATACTTATACCCCAAAATAATGGTATTTGATGTTTTTTTTTCTTTTAGAATCCATGAAAATTCAGTATATTGATTCAAAAGAAATGGACACAATTACAGTCATAAAATCATGGCTGGTCAAGGCCAGGGAAAGAATTACAAATCCAATAAAAAGAAGGAAAGCAATGAATAAATATCCTTTCAATGTTTAGAAAAATAAAATTGTTCTTGAAGTCATCTTTTTTTATTGCATAAAGCCCCTATGGTGGCGACACCAAGGCATGGTAACATTTCATAAGGATCACTGCACACTAAGCATTTCATCATAACATTATAAAAATAACAATGTTGACTCCTGAGAATTGACATGTTTTATGTGAAATTAAGAAGAAAACATTCTCATTGCATGCTAGAATACCACAATATATGCTATGAAGAATATTCTAGGAACATTCTCGACATCTACTGAGTATGTTCTGTAGCATATTCTATGCACATACTGACGTACATTCTCAGCATGTTCTTAGAACGTGGAAAGAGGGCTCGGTAACATGTGCTAATTATATTCTTAGTACATGCTGAATGATAATAGCGCACGTTCTAAGCATATACTACTTCTCAAAACGTAGGTTCTTAGAACATGCTAAGAATGTGAATTTGTTATCTGGGAAGACATTGACACAATTCCCCCAAATATCTACACTATTGATGAAATCAATTATTCTTCAATTAAAAATCAAGCTATATTATAAATAGTTTCTTTCAACCTTATAATTCATTAAAACACTACATATTCATGCTTCATGATTTTATTCATCTTAACTATAGGTTTCTCAAACACATTTCAATGTAATACCTGTAATAATAATTATATAGTCAACAGAATGTGTTTCCAGAGAGTCCACCAAGTCATTTTTGTGAATTATCTTGAACATTTCAATAATTTCTTGTTAAAGTTTGCTGTATTGACCAACAATTCATTGAAAAACAGATCAACCTTGTTCATCAATAATTCTTGAATTTTCAATTTAGAAATTTTGACAATCATCACAGTTCAAAGTATCTATAGTTATCATCATCACACAAAATACTTATTAGTAATTACAAACATTTGCTATCATAATGAGTACCTATCATTCATTCACAAAATATTTATCACATCAACTCAATATAACATAGTAATTCAGATTTTTTCAAACAATACTCATCAGTCTTATCACAAGGAATATTTTTATCAACAATTTCATTATGAATTAACATATGAATCCACTGTTCATTGATGTTTCATGAAAAGTTCGTGAAAATTGACCAACCAAAAGTGTTGGCACAAAGAAAAATCTCTTACAACAATATGATAAATTTCAAACTTGTTCATTTGTGATTTTGAAAAAAAACTGAGTATTTCTTCTCCTGTGTTCCCGAATATCTACTACTTATCATGATTTATTATTTAGGTGAGTTGTGAGTGAGCAAACCAGTTTTGTTCAAAATTCAAAAACAGGCATATGTTAATAGCAATTTTGCAAATGTAATCTTATCATTATTTACTCTGAAATGGTGACTTCAACATAAAATATTGTATCTTTTTTTTTAAATCATGATTAGCAGTTTGAATTCACTATTTTCTCCAGGCTGAAAATGAAAAAAAAAATTTAAGCCAATCCTGTCAATTTGAAATGTGGTGATTTTTTTGCACAATATAGAGGTTTGGAAGCATGAGAAACAATATGAAGTTAGTTTTTATGCCAAAATATTCCTAATATGATTTCATAAAAATCAAGATATTGAGGGACCACTTGAGGGATATAGAGGAAGGGGCTTTAGAAGTGAGATATGCTGTATATATTTGGTTCCTACTTATCAAAGATTTGTCTATATTGCATAACAACTCTATTACTATATATCTTCATCAATCAAGAACATAATATATTCAGTCCAATTGAACAATTGGGGGACATATGTTGACATTTGCACAGCAAATTGTGATGATTTTGTGGAGAGTTGGATCATCACCACATTATAAGTGAAATTGCCATGTTGATCAGCTAATATCCTGTACTTCTGTTTCATTGCACCACCACAATCACAGTAGGATGTAATTGTTTCTTTCCTTTTCCCAGATAACGCGAAGACGTCCTGTGTACGTCCAGAGGACGTACATCTGGGACGTAGAAGACGTCCTGAAGACGTCCAGTGTCGGTCGAAGACGTCCACAGGACGTACTGGGGACGTCCGATGTTACAAGATGGAACGTCCCAGGGACGTCCATATTAAGTCCAAGTTTGGTATTTCATCGCCATGAATACCATAATCAACGTAGATTCGCCCTTTTTCACTCAGATAGATAAACAAGACATTTATACAGAGTAGAAAAATATTATTTTGAATGCAAAATTTGAAAAAATCCTTCCTACTGGGGGATCGATCCCGCGACCTCTGAATTACCGAGCAGATGCTTTACCAACAACTCTACACAACACTTATTGAATATAAGACTTACCTCTGTTCAACATATGCGAGTAAAGATGGAAACATATACATTGAGGACAGAAACACTCCACCAGCTCATTTCAATGGAATTCGCTATCAATCAGTCTGCATTTTCTGATTGGTCATATAAAGACCAGGACGTAAGACAATGTGTACATAATTTCATCTTTAGGAATATCCTCCGAAATCTCTGAATCCAATAAAGAGATAACACTCTATTTAGGATAAAAATATATATGCGAACATTGACAGATTTACTTCCATTTCTCCACATTGGTCACTAAAAATCACGTGATTCATTGTGACCTATTATCGAATAAATCGGCAGCCAATAATAAGGGCCCTTATTCTTTCTCCATTTGATCACATTTGGCAATGTTTTATTGTTATTGGAAAATTTAATAAATATAGAGTGAATAATGAATATAGAAAAAATGAAGACTAAAAATGGACGTCCTGAAAACGTACGCTCTGTACGTCCCGAAGACGTACGGCATGGTACGTTCTGAGGACGTCCATATTAGGTTCCGGGACGTACGGACCCGAATCGGACGTAATATGTACGTCCCCGGGACGTCGTGTGCTATCTGGGTTGTAAAAGCTTGAATCTTCACTTGGGCATTCATAATTCGTACATAGTCACCAACCAAAAAGCCATGGTCACCTAAAATCAAATCACCTACAATTGAATTTGTATTAATTGAAAGTTGGATAGATACTGTTTGAAATTCAGATGAGTTCAGGAAGATTGTTAGAACAGTAGACATACATAAATAGATTGAAAGTCAAGACAAGTGGAACATTTTCAACAGTGCATGCTGTTTAATAAAATTAGTTTTTCCATACATATAAAAGATTTCTAGCTTCTAGTCAATAAAACTAATTCAAAAAGTTTATTCTCTTCCAGTAATTCTGGATTTAATAAATATTGATATCAATAATATTCAATTGACCTTGTACAGAAACTCACCTGGAATAATATTATCTATTAATTTTGAATTGATTGTTATGGGATAATCAGATGCTCTTTCTCCACAAGCCTCACTGATCAAACACACTGTTTCTTGTGGGGTGATTCCTATCAAATTATAATCAGATCAGCACTAGGCTGACAGCTGTGATATTTGTTTGTGAATATTTATCACATTCAGCAGGAACTATACTAAGGTTCTCATCTTGAAAATCTGATGATCCTACAGCCTGTTCATTAGATGGCCCTGCAGCCTGTTTGAAATCAGATGGTCCTGCAGCCTCACCTTGGCATTCTGATGTTTCCATATCATTGATAGTTTCCTTAGATTGGTTGTCAGAGGCTAAGCTATCATATCCCAAAAATAAACTGGGAGCCCAGATAGGATTATTAACATCTGATAGATATGCAGGTTATTTCCCTAAAATTTCCATTATACCTATTATAATTACTACTAACCCACTAAACATGTAATGTTACAAAATATTGCCACAATATATTGTGAAGCTTTCTTCCATAATATGAAAATACAATATTGTATCTATTTTGCTGCTTTATTCGTGTTGACGATATAACAGAAAAACTTACTGACAAATTGTTTGTAAGTTACAAAATGACCCTTTCAATTTAGTTTCAATAGCAATATTGCATCAACTATAAATTCTCATTGAAATTGCAACATTACATGGATCAACTACGAACAATATCAGTGCAACGTTACACATATAATTTTCAATTGTAATGTTGCATCAACATTTATACTTCATTGAGTTTGTAAATAACATGAGGTAACTACAAACAATATTGCTACAACTTATGGGATGCAACACATATTTGAATAAAAAATGTAATATAGCTGAAATATACAAAATGCTACATTGGGTATCGATCGAGAGACGCCATTTCATGAAATGCCTACGCGCAGTCGCAAACTTGCATTCGACAAACGCCAGTATCTTAGTCGCCATATTTGTTCGTGTTTGGCTTCGGTAACAGGTATTTTGTTGTTGTACACGTCCAAATGGCAAATGATACCAATAAATAAAATACTTTGGAACATTAATTGAGGTATAAGTGGTGATCTGGCGATATGTGATATTAGGCAGTTGGGAAGGTTTTGAATCGCAGTTAGCAGTTGATGGTTAGGTGAGTCAACATCAGTTATTCTAGGTTAGGTATACATTTTACAAATTCATACATCGTTTATTGATCTAAGCGGATCGTTCGATCGACAAAAAATAACATAGAATGATTATAATTATTCGTTATTCGTATACCTACTCAAAGTTATAGGACAACCTCGTGAATTCAGACAGTGAATGCAGTCAAAGTGAATCAAAGTGTATCTACTCTCTTATTATTGTTTCTGTTTGAGCTTTCGGGTCTTTATCGGCTCTTTATCAGGATCTCTATAAAACATTTCAAATTATATGAAATCAATCCTGATGATTATTACTGAAACACTTAGGGACATTGAGGTTTTGTTTAACCTCATAGTGATAGTAGAATCATTGCTCGAATCATCAAATCTTATCTCTCATTTTACTGCACTTAGCTGTTGTAGAAAAAACTTTGAGCCCGCACTCACAATTCATTCTAAAACAACCTAATAAAGTTCTTCAGAATATTTTCTAGATGCTGAGAAATATTCATATTATCTTCAGTGTATATTATGAGGATACTCTCAGCATACCTTGGAAAATGAATATTTCCAGAATCAAGTATACAATCCTCAACTCTCAAGTTTAACCGGTAGATGAACTATAACTCAACTAACAGGTAGATTCCTGACTATTCTATTTTATCATTATTTCCTTTGTTCCAGGTTCTTATGCAGTGCAGTGCCTATGAGACCTAGTACCGTTATACCAAAAATATTTAGAAATTTTTTCAATCTACTTTTAAATTATGAAATAGTCGACACGATTATTCGATTATTAAAATATTGTTACTATGTATAATTCATAATATAAAATATGTAATTTTCCTTGACTTTTTATTTCATGTTGCCAGTTACCTTAACAAAATATAACAATAAGATTACATTCGTTCATTGAGTATGAAATGTAACTTTACTTCATACACAATGTTACAATAACTCTGCTGGAGTGATTCATTTGCGAACATTACATTCATAATATTGCTGAACGTCCGTTTCAGTAGTTGCTGCGACCTTGCAGTAAGATAGCGACAATATCTAATGTAACATTACACATAACATTGAAATATTGCTGTAATATTGTTGAGATATTACTTTGCTTAGTGGGAACCATTACCTGTTTCAGTGAACTCACCAAGTAGGTAGGAAATGTTTGCTGCAAACTCTCAACATTTTCAGTTTCTGCTCCATCAAACCATTTCTATTTATCCACTTGTCTCTTCATTTGATAATTCATTGTTCCAATTTATGTCTAAATTTCAAGACACTCAGGATTCGATGAAACTTCATGCTATCACCATATTACCGACTCTTAAAATTGATTATTTCACAATAAAACATTATTATAACACAAACACCAAGCAAAACCTATCCAAATAGTGTCCAGAATACACCACAGCATCACAGGAATACACATCAACTATTCAATAATTTTCATAAAGATGATGCAATTCTTATAAAACTAAGTATATAAAGTTCAATTATCAACTAAAGAAGCGAAGAAAGCAGCATTTAACACATTTTACTTTCAATTGAAAATATGGTTAAAAAAGTCACGGAATGACAGCTATTTGTTTGGGTACAGCAACCATCTTGAATCTGATTTTGACAGCATTCCGAAATACCTAATAGTTCATTGGCCAAATGTCGCTGTGACCACAGAACACAAACATGATTGATGGCATATGGAAATGTGATGAAAAATGGAAATGATGGACTTCTCTCTCGTATTAACATAAACATATAAGGCGTTTTCGGAAACTTACTCGGGTTGATCGGATCACTAACCTGAACGTTCGGTTACCTAAGCCGAGTCACCTTCCTCTGTTCGGAAACTTGAATGTTGCTAACTCGATCACTGACTCGGGTTGATTTTTCGTGACCCTACTCAAAAGCAGGGTCGCCATTGGGGTCGCCAGAGTTGGAGAGGACACCGCATGCGCATTACCAATTTATACGAAATTTATATGTCAATCGAAAAACGCGGGAGTTCACCACTCGAGAGCTCCTATATACCTAATAATATATATAATACTCTTTGATTGCATAGTTGGTACCTCTTTTCACTAATGAAAATTCCCTAGAACAAAAGTAGCCGCGCTATTTAGGTATATAATGAATTATATAAAAATATATACAAGACATATAAACATATTCATATCCGTGTAATGTCGTGTATTCCTTTATCATTATTCAATGAATTGGGAATTGGGGTAAAAGCATCACGATAAAAAATGGCATTGCCAAGTGAGAACATTGTTCAAAACTTGATTAGTGCGGCATCTAGGGCTGCATCATCTTCTACTTCCGATTTTGATGATTTTGAAGGGTTAGTGCAAGAAACCAGACGGTCCTTTAGAAGAAGGCAGACATCAAATGGCCGAAAGAAAAGCTCCAAGGTGAAAAAAAATGTTTTTCTCTTCAGGCGGAACAATGTTGACTTCGTTCCCACTACAAAGGAGATCAATTACCTGAATGAAAATAATATGGGTAAGCATTTCATATTCATTATTGTAACTTTTACTTGCATATCATTTCCAATGCAATTGTTATTGGATTTCCTTCATCTTAAGACATTACCAATGCTGAAACTTGTGCTAGATTAAAGAACCTATGCCTTTTCTATAATTTTGGTGGAAATTATCAAAAATAATTGAAAAATATTGCCTAGACAATCTTCTAGCATTGAATAATAGAATAGTCCACAGACCACAGACAGACAGAGTGAATAATCTCCTCCTCTTTGCTTCTAGCTAAGATGACCAGTTACATAATATTATCCTTGAGTATTTACCTAGGATATTATGTAGGTAGGTGTTTAGGTACCTACCTTTATACCTAGTCATTTCACTTCTCAGATCTACTAGCCAAATATATCCTTGCATTCTTTGTCCTTTATGTATTATAAAGTACTTATATATATATATATATAAATATATATATATTTAGGTGGCCAGGTAGCCGTGCGGACAGAGTGTCTATATTCTAATTCGCATTCGCTTGCCGGTCGTGGGTTCGATCCCCGTCGACTGCAGAAATTTTTCTGATGGCCCAAGAAAGTGTTTGGGATCACACGTTAAAAGGTAAGGCCCCCGTCATTCCTTGCTCGCACAAGACTTTCGAGGACTTTTGAGGGTTGCTCGTAAGGGGGCAACCGAATGACGGATAGAACAAATTTTACAAAAAACAAAAAAGAACAAATTATATTACCTACTCTTATGCAGGTAAAGTTTAGTTCAGTTTATTGGAAATATTGGGAATAGTATATAATTTCAGAGTTAGTTCTAAATATTTGGAATGAAAGGAACCATTTTCATAATTTTCAGCATTGTATATACCTAGGTACATATACATATTTCATTGTTCACAATTTGTTTGTTTCCAATGTGAGGAAAAATAGATAGGTAGGTATGTGTCTTCAAAAAATCTGTTTGAACACTTTTCAAAAAACATGTAGATTTTTTACAGATTTGGTGCTTAATAGGTTTTGATCATAACATCATGACAATTGATACAATGATGTACACTGTGTCCATTAAGTCAACTCCCCCCCCCCATTTTGAATAAAACTTTCAAAATGGCGTCCAGCTGTCATTTTGAAAGATACATATTTTTTATCAGTGTCAAAATGTAGGTAGCACCCACTAGCACCTAATTTACTATTGGCCCAAAAAAATTTGAAATATCAGCACGCCTATTCTAAGAACCAATGAGATTTCTTCAATTTCTCAAAATCGTCCAATAAACAGTCATTTATAATAATGATAAAAAGCTACCTAGCTTTCCCAACTGATAAATATGCGCCTTGCTACTTTGACAACTGTCAGTGTCAGATTATTTTCGAGTTTTCCTAACACAAAGTAGTTTCAAAATATATACACTGTGTCCATAAAGTCACCCCCCCTGGTTATTTTCTGAACGGCTGGGATTTTTTCCTCAAAATGCTTTTGGTAACATGGTAGTTAGGTACTACATTTTGACACCGATAAAACATATGTATCTATCAAAATGGCGGTTGGACGCCATTTTGAAAGTTTTTTTTAGATGGAATGGGGGGTCATATGATGCCTCATTTTAAAGGTCTTCCAATTATTTATACAACACCAGAATTTTGGATAGAAATATTCATCCAAAACAAAATGGCGGTTGATAATGTTTGAAGTCTCGATCAGCTCTCAGCTACATGGCTATCAACGAAATCTCGTGTAATCTTCAATTTTTTATTGCCTCTATCGACATCTAGAAGTGTTCTTCATCCAGAAGAATGGATTGGACAGACAGACATTGGATATAAAGTAGGTATCATTGACATCATCTTATTTGAATATTTTTCAAGATGGCTCCCTTTCGATATTTTCATGGACATGGATAGAGAACACTTCTAGATGCCAATAGAGGCAATCAAAATTGAAGATTGCACGAAATTTCGTTGATATAGCCATGTAGCTGAGAGCTGAGATTTAAAACCTTACCAACCGCCATTTTGTTTTGGATGAATATTTTCATCTGAAATTCTGGTGTTGTATAGAGAATTGGGAGACCTTTAAAATAAGGTATCATTTGACCCCCCCATTCCATAAAAAAAAACTTTCAAAATGGCGTCCAGCCCCCATTTTGAAAGATACATATGTTTTATCGCTGTCAAAATGTAGTACCTACCTGAACTATCATGTGACCAAAAATATTTTGAATAAAAAATTCCCAACCGTTCAGAATATAACCAGAGGGGGTGACTTCTTGAACACATCAGTTTATAATGTATAGTTGTGTATTAATCACCCTGAAATACATTCGAGAAAATTTTTTATCAGATAAATATATTTCAAATTGTATTCAAATTTTATTGTCATTTGGCAAAAACTGTCAAATCAAGAGAAGTAGAAAAAATCGCTCGAGCAAGCTCTCGCGATTTTTTCACTCCCTTGATTCTTGATTATGACAAAACAATTTTCATACAATTAAACATGTCGTTCAAAAGATTACCAGGGAGGGGGTGACTTTATGGACACAGTGTATAAGTATTAAAAATGTATAATAATGACAATATTGGTGGAATGCAAAAAACAAATATTTTCATTGGAATTAACACTAAATTTATATTTTTGTAGGAAAACGAGAAAAGGCTCATTTTGAAAGACATTGGTCAGTACCAGAGATTGAATCCCATATTCATTCTCTCTACCCCAATGTACCTCTCAACCTGATTGGATTCCAACTTGGTAAATGTAGTAATAATGTGACTAAAGGATATCTTCTTGATTATGTGCTGTGCCTTGAAGAAACAATGTATTCAGTAACTCAATAGCAATAATGATCAAATAAGTATCAGCAATAATGATAAGACAGTATAGACATTGTAGAAAATGCAATATGTTCTTAGTTTGATTAGTTTGAAATTGTTAGTCATACGCATTTGTCAAGTTGATTTGTGAAATTCTATATAAATAATCACTTTTTTATGAAAATGTATGAAATGATAGCTTCATTATCTGCTGCATGGTTATACCAAAGTATCTGAGTAGGTACAGCATAAACAATAATGAATTATATATTTTATTACTTATATTACAGTGAGAATATTCTTTAGGAACAATTTTCCACATCAATTTTTCTTGAGGATTTGAGAAAATTTATGAATCCCTTGAATTCAGGAGTGTTTGTATGTTTTTATGTCTTTCTGAACATGAAAATGATTTTAGTAAACAATAAATGTTCTTCTATATTAGCATGGGTTTTCTTCGAGGTTTTTTAGAATGATTTAACATAACATAACTTGCTTCTTCACAATATTTCAGAATGAGTGTCCTCATTCCTGGAATCATAAAATGTTTTTGTTCTCCGTATCAAGTTTTCTCAAATTCTTGATAATATTCTCTATTATCTAAGTATAAATACACAAAAAATGTCTATCAACACAGGAAAATGTGATCAATCCAGGAAAATAGTTGTTCTATCCAACATCAATAGCATGGAAGATGTGTTACATCAAATCAACCAGGGATCCATATATGTGATACCAAATAGAGATATTCCCATGGATGAGGTGAGGTTGAGAATAAATAGGAGAGGGGAAGAAGTGGAGAGCAATGAGGTATGTTTTAGTTTTAAAATGATGGTACGTATACATATATGATTATATTATTTGGTTGGATATGTAATAATAATGTGGATGGAATATCAGACTTATTAATATCAATACTCTATAAGTATAGGGTATATAGTCTAGGGATGGAATATATTATCAAGGTCAGTGTAAGACCACAGTATTCTTCACAATCACAGAGCATAAAATGATACTTAGTACCGAGTGCACTTTTATGAATATAATTTACTAATACTTTGAAAAAAATCGAGATTCAGTTAGAAAGTTTGACATTCTCATGAGGTTTTTGATTAAGGACAATAAATGGTTTTTATTATTATTTTAGTAATTTTTCACTTATTGTTCAATGTGTTAGCAATTGAAGTATTCTTTTATTTAGTCATTAGCTCATTATAATATCCATATATTATATGTTGAATGAAGAATCAAGTGTTTTTTTCCAAGAGCAGCGTTTGTAGACAAAATCTTGTGTGTATTTTGAGCGCAAAGTGTCATTGCCGCTCTCCAAAGATTACCGCGGCGGCAATCTATCACTTTGCGCTCTAAATAGGTACATAAATAGCTATTTTCTCGGCGCCTGTTGACTGAACTACAGGACATGCATTAGGTATGTGCCATTAGACATTACAGTAACTAGAGAACCACTTGACTATTTTGAAAAAAATCCGAAAACGTTTGTGGAGTGATTTGAAATTAAAATGGAAATTTGGCCCATTGAGATTATCCATTTAGTTGAAATTGATTATCATACTAGGCATTAGACATATCATGTATCAATTGTTTCACATTTGTTGACATCTTTATGACTAGTTCTGTAAATTATTGTTTAGTAACTTTATATGAACTGAAACAACAATAATTTTGAATCATCATCACTTCCAACTATAGATGTTTTTGTTAACATACTAAAATTTTTTTAGGATATTCCTCGCCATGATCCTGTGGTAAGGCGCAGAAATCCTGCAAGAAGCAGGCATGAATATATACCTGAAAATGTGTCCCAAGAAATGAGTTTGACTCATCGTCCACACAGAAGCACAAAAGAAACTGTAGAATCTACTTTACCAAACTTCGGCTTGGAGCCTGAGATTAGTGGAAGTCTGAACCTTTACCAGTTCACTGTGCCAACCCTCCCTGAAGATGCTGAGAAAATACAATTAGAAATAAATCGTTCTAATTGTTCAAATGATCTATTTAAATTTTATAGTGAAGAAAATGTGACAGAAAAACGTTTGCTAGTCACATTCACTGATGAAATTGGTGTTGATGGGGGTGGATTGACAAAAGAAATGTTCAACCTTTTTTTTTCTGAAATTGAGGATAGATTCTTCAGGGGTGAGGACTGTATAGTTCCTTTTTTACCACTGAACAGAATCAGAAAAGATAAAGAAAAGTTCATTCTGATAGGCAGAGTATTAATACATATGATACTCTTAACTGGAAATGTGCCCTCTAAATTTTCACAGCTGGTATTAACTTCAATTGGAAAGGATAATGATCAGATTACTTTTGAAAATGATAATTTGCTAAAACAGTTTTATTTATATGTCAATCCTTGTGAAAGAGTTATACTGAAAAAGGCAATAAACAGTTACAAACTTTTAAATAAGAAGGAGACTGAGATTCTGGCCAATATTTTCACTAGTCATCAGTTTTTTGAACTACCCTGTGAATCCGAAATCAGAGAGCAACTGATTTCAATAGCGACATATGTATTAGTTGAAAAACCAAAGCCATTCATCAATCTTATCAAACAAGGGGTGTATTTGGACAAGTATGGTACCTTTTGGCGTGAATGTGACTTTTCAGTATTTCTTGATGTACAAAAACCTACTCAGGATAAAGTTGTCAATTAGTTTGAAAGCAAGTGATGATTTGAGTAATGAAGAGATGACAACACTTCATTATCTGGAAATGTACATTAGATGTCTAGACAACGATTCTCTGAGACAATTTGTATTTTTTACTACTGGCTCTTACCAAATGCCCGATGTTATTAACATTAGTTTCAATAATGTTGTTGGACTAGCCAGGAGGCCAGTTGTTAGTACATGTGCTAATTCAGTGGAGCTCTCCACTAGCTATTCTTCATATCAAGAACTCAAAAAAGAGTTCAATAATCGTTTATTTTCAGAGGAAGCTTATGTGTACAACACCTACTGAAAATAAATTAATTAAAACAATGAATAAAAGATCAAATAAAATAGCTTTGAAGGTACCTATTGTTTGCAATTATTCAACATGTTGAATAATTCTTGGAACTTCTCTCTGTCCATACATTCCATGAAATTCAAGATTTTACAAAATGAAACAGCAATGACAATTAATCGTTTTGCTTTATTCAAACTTCAAAGATGCTTCAAAATAATTCATGACTTATTGATTACATGAGGATATGTATAAAACCTCTGAAAAGTCAATTTTTTATTGAGGATTTTTTCTCATAAAGAAATACAGAATTGTCCAGAAAAGTGTAGTAGCCTGTACTTGTGTATACAGTCTGTCCAAGATAAGGTTGCACAGCATGGGGATCTCGGAAACGGTAGGAGATACGAAGTCGGTTGAATGGGGAAAAAGTTGGGCATTCGGAGGCTCATATACCAACAGCCCTCAAAAATTTTCAAAATTGTTTTTAGTTTTTCAGTTATATCGAAGAAAGTTAATTTTTGGAATATCTATTTCATTTTTTTCTCCGTTATTAGAGATACAGAAAAACTGAGAATACTTTTTCATAGCAACTTTTGATGACGTTCAACGTGGTGATACCGATTTTTCTATGCGACGTTTCGTATTCATAGAACTATCAGCAACTTTTGTTTTTTAAATACGGTCCTGATAATTTTTCACAGATTCTGAAAGCACGTTAAACGTTATCTGAAGTTGCTATGAAAAAGTATTCTCAGTTTTTCGGTATCTCTTATAATAACGGAGAAAAAGAATAAAATAGATATTCCAAAAATGCAGTTTTTTCTATATCACTGAAAAACCAAAAACTGTTTTGAAAATTTTCGAATGCTGTTGGTATGAGCCTCCGAATGCGCAACTTTTTCCCCATTCAACCGACTTCGTATCTCTTACCGTTTCCGAGATCCCCATGCTGTGCAACCTCATCTTGGACAGACTGTATCTAATGGAACACCTCAAGTTATATCTTGGTTTGATGGGGGTACATCTGCAAGATTATTTGGGCTTATGAAAGAGTTTTTCATTTATGTATTTTCTGTAGTCCTTTTGACTCCCCATCAAATCCAATTTGGATATATTCATGGTGATATTTCCATAAACACATTTTTGGGTTACTATCCTTCTAGGTTACCCAGTATTTTGGTATGGTTCGTAAAATGGGCCTTCTTGGAATAAAAACAAACATTAAATTAATTTCATAATTTTGCCGTACAGTCAAGGTAATCCATCTGATTCAATTGACAAAAGACTGAGGTCAAATTATATTTCTTGGAGGACAAAATCAGACCATGGTCCCTTATAAAAGATTTACACCTCTCGAAGACTTACAGTTATCAAAAGTGGATTGTGTTGGGTGTATTGAAGAACTCACTGAAAATATAAATTACTAATTACAACATTTAAAGAATATACAGAGTGGAAAGTCTAACTGAAACAAATTCTGTAACTTGATGAATAAAGGTTTATCGCAAAATTCCTGAACACGTCAATTTTTATTTTCAATGAGGCATATTACAAAGAAATTTGTTTATCTTTTTACTTATCTGGAGGGTTGCAGACACGCCCAACTCTTTTTAAATGGAACATCCTGCATTTTATTGCATTTCTATATTATCTCTGGAGAGATGATTTCATCGATCCATCACACTTGGGGTGTAGCGGGATTGATTACCGAGATATATAAGGTGTGGAAAATAGAGATTTTTCAACTTTGGTAATTTTTTGTGTGGAAACTATTCATTATTGGTCAAAACGGCTTCCATATCCTTATCTTAACTTTTGATTTCCTATCTACTGATATTGAGTTGAAACAAATACAGGGTGATGGTTCGGAATACAGAATTCTGAACGACCCTGTATTCGTTTCAACTAATTGTTAGTCGATAGTAAACCATAAGTCAAGATAGGGAAATGGAAGCCGTTTTGACCAATAATAAAACGAAAAATTTCCAAAGTTGAAAAATCTCTATTTTCCACACCCTATATCTCAGTAATCAATCCCGCTACACCCCAAGTGTGATGGATCGATGAATTCAGCTCTTCAGAGAATATAAAAATGCAATAAAATACAGGGTGATCCATTTAAAAAAAAAGTTGGGGGTGTCTGCAACCCCCCAGATAATTAAATAATCTTGTAATATGCCTCATTGAAGATAAAAATTGACGTGTTTCAGGAATTGTTATTTATCAAGTTAAAGAATTTGTTCCAGTTAGACTTTCCACTCTGTACTATAATCTTGAATGTTCATTAGAATTATTTGGGTGGATAAAATTTTAAAGTAAAAATATGCTAGAGGGTTACCATGCATTTTCCCTTGATTGGCACCGAAAATGTGAAATTATTTTTAAGTTTCGAAACCCTGTAAACTGCATTTCTTGATATAAGCTATGTTGAATTACCTTTTAATTTTAGGAATGAGTCTATGAGGGTTCTCTCATTTGTTTTCTCTACATCAACCTTGTATATTTTTAGAAATATTGGTATGCTGATGTAGAATAAAATTTTTTATTTCGTTATAACTGTTGTTTCAATCTCTCTGTACCATACCTGAAATTCCTAGATATTTTTTCCAAAGAAAGGTTGTATGACCTTGTAATATTTGATGTAGCATGTGACAAACAAGCCAAATGCTATAGTAGGTAGGTATGTACATAGACTTTAATCATTAAAATCAAATCTCGAACGTATTCGGCAACAATGCCATCATCAAATCAAATTTTGAGTTAACATGTGCTTCAAAAAAATTGATGTTAAATAAGTTGTTAATTTGAAAATAACTCAATTGTCAGAAATCTATACAAAATATGCATTGTGTTATTCTCAAATTATCAACTTATTATAAATTCTCTAAGCTCAATTTTTTGAAACACACGTTTACTCAGAATTATACTCATGCATTCATATTATTTATTTAAAAGAACTTATCCCTGGAAAATAATGACTATTTCGCAGATATTGGAATCATAATGTGACAGAATTCCGATTATTCTTGAATAATTCTTGTAGAGCAACATTTAACTGAATTTTCCCCATTATATCTGAACAAAACCTGATCCAAGATATTTGCCTACTTCTGAAGAAGACGAATGTCAAAAAAGCAAAAAAAAATCCATAGTAAAAAATACTACATTTTTATTTAGAAGAAACAATATTTATTTTTATTGTTAATACATGAAATGAATTCATTGAATTATTACAATAATAGTACCTATGGAACTTATTGTTACCAATGAATACATAATCCTAAAAAATATTCAGAAATTAATATCCCTACATTTAACGAAAAATGATCTGCAAAGTAAATATTTTACAAATGGACAAGATCTTCAAGTATATTCTAATATACAGTGATGGGCAAAAGTGTGGAACCAAGTAAATATCTCAGAGGTAACCATTTGTTAGATTTTTTTGAATTTTATATCTCTGTAATTATTCCCGCTACACCACAAGTGTGATACATTGATAAATTCAGCTCTACAGGAGAAATATAGAAATGCAATAATATATGGGGTGTCCCATGCGAAATAACAAAGTTAACCAGACATTGGCATTTTCGGATCTGCCATGTTTCGGAATCACCCAGAACAAAAATTCAAAAAATTCCAACAAACTGTTAGCTAGATATTCACTTGGTTTCACAGTTTTGCCCATCATAATCACCTTTGTGATATCCAATCAGAATTTGGTTCTAAAATTCAGTGCAAGAGCCTAACAAATCCATCTAAATGAACAGACCCTATTAGCATCAAATGATATGCAACTTTGGTATTGTGCTGACCTCAACTAACAACTTCTTGATATAAAAAGTAACTTCAACCAAATCTAGAATATAAAGCAAAGTTCCTAGTTCCTATTGAGATCAGCTAATTTAAATTTTTATTTGAAAACTACTCCTACACGCCAATGCTCAAGATAACTCCTTCTATGAACCGCGACCTTAAGATGTACACCTGCATCCATTCGACTATCTTTCTAGCCGTTGAGAGTCAAAACAAGGCAATAAATCAGAATTAATGGGCCATTAGCGTCATTCGGTGTCACCATATCAGAGAGATTAACGACACTGCACCTGCATAATCTACCCGCGACAGATTAGCGCAGACAAAGGAAGGGGTTTGATATAAAAGAGGAAAGAGTTCAATGAAAAGGA